ATTCCAACCGCGATGTCTACCAGCAGCTTCAGGGCTAGTGATGTTTCAAGTGGTAAGATTATGAGCTTTAATAAGTAAAATTATACCAGCTATGTCTACATGCACAAAATGTTTTAATCGGATTGAAATGTATTCAGATTAAATAATCCGAATGTACTGTTTACATGGACACACTCCGATCATGAAAAGTGTTTACATGCACCAGAGTTTTATTCAGAATAAAAGTCCGGACTTGCACAGTGTTGTAAACTGTCAGCTCTACTTCCGTGTTACAAACGTAAACAACGCTCCTCTGTGTGCTCAGGACGGACCTGTGTCAGCTTTTAATAACAGTAGAGACACCGTTACTCCTCGGTTGAGCTGCAGCCTGCAGATGAAGCAATACGTGCTTTTTATTTTTATTTTTTGTGAAGCAATGTCTGCTGTTTGCCTCCTTTTTCATCTGTTAAGAGAGCGTGGAGGAAAAGTTCTGCACGGTGCAGCGCAGGGAGGCGTCCAGGAGACGTCCATGAGGCATCCTAACCCGAACCACATCAACTGGCTCCTCTCGACATGGAGGAGCAGTGGCTCTACTCTGAATCCCTCCCGGATGACTGAGCTTCTCACCCTATCTCTAAGGGAGAGCCCAGACACCCTGTGGAGGAAACTCGTTTCAGCCGCTTGTATCTGTGATCTCGTTCTTTCGGTCATTACCCAAAGCTCGTGACCAAAGATGAGGGTAGGAATGTAGACCAACTGGTAAATCGAGAGCTTTGCCTTCTGGCTCAGCTCTCACTTCATCACGACAGACCGGTACAGCGCCCACATCGCTGCAGATGCAGCACCAATCCGCCTGTCGATCTCCCGCTCCATTCTTCCCTCATTCGTGAACAAGACACCGAGATACTTAAACTCATCCACTTGGGGCAGGAACTCTTCCCTGACCCAGAGAAGGCACCCTACCCTTTTCCAGCTCAAGACCATGGTCTCGGATTTGGAAGCACTGATCCTCATCCCGGCCGCTTCACTCTTGGCTGCGAACTGCTCCAATGAGAGCTGAAGATTACGATCTGATGAAGCCAATAGGACCACATCATCTGCAAAAAGCAGAGTTGTGATCCTAAGGTCACCAAAAAGGATCCCCTCAACACCTTGGCTGCGCCTAGAAATTCTGTTCATAAAAGTTATGAACAGAATCTGTGACGAAGGGCAACCTTGGCAGAGTCCAACTCTCACTGGAAACGAGTCCGACTTACTATCAGCAATGCGGACCAAGCTCTGGCACCGRTTGTATAGGGACCTAACAGCCCGTATCAACAGGCCTGGTACCCCCCACAGGAGTCCCAGAGGGACACGGTCGAATGCCTTCTCCAAGTCCACAAAACACATGTGGACTGGTTGGGCGAACTTCCATGCACCCTCCAGGACCCTGCTGAGGGTGTAGAGCTGGTCCGCTGTTCCATGACCAGGACAAAAACCACACTACTCTTCCTGAATCTGAGATTCGACTATCCGATGGACCATCCGCTCTAGAACCCCTGAATAGACCTTACCAGGGAGGCTCAGAAGTGTGATCCCCACTATAGTTGGAACACACTCTGCGGTCCCCCTTTTGATATAGGGGGACCACCACCCCGGTCTGCCTATCCAGAGGATCTGCCCCCAATGTCCACGCAATATTGTAGAGTTGTGTCAACCAACGCAACCCCACAACATCCAAAGCCTTAAGGAACTCCGGGTGGATCTCATCCACCCCCGACGCCCTGCCACTGAGGATCTTTTTAACCACTGGAGAGTCTGACCCAGGGTCCCCAGGCTCTGCTTCCTCATGGGAAGACGTGCTGGTGGGATTGAGAAGTATATAATATATAAATAAATAGGAAGGTCAAATAAATGATAAAACATGAGGTTAAGTTCTCATTTTTTAAATTAATTGGTGCATTTTAAGTGTATTTATTTATTTGTTTGGACATGCATAAATACAGCGGGTAAAATAAGTATTGAACACGTCACCATTTTTCTCAGTAAATATATTACTAGAGGTGCTGACATGAAATTTTCACCAAATGTCGGTAACAACCCAAGTGATCCATATCTACAAAGAAATCAAACCATAAATGTCCAGAAATTAAGTTATTTATAATAATGTGGAATGGCACAGGGAAAAAGTATTGAACACATGACGAAAGGGAGGTGTAAAAAGGCACGGAAAGGCAACACACCAGCTGAACTCTCTCAGTAATTAGAACGCAAGCCTGCCCCTTGTCAGTGCAAGTTAATATCAGCTGGTTCAGTCCCAAATGATGGCCAGGTATCACACAAGAACCATCTGATGATGGGTAAAAG